GAACTGCAAACCAGAAGCAATACTCGTCGATTGAGACGGTTGTTATTAATCGGCACCGTTGTTGACTGTAACTCTTTTAACACATCCACCGCTGAAAGCACGAAGCGTACCTAGTAACACCCGGTCTCGAACCCTAGATTTTTCACGGATCGCCGGTCCCATACACTAAACACTAGGGCACGTCGGGACTTATTTTGAATATAAACTGTATATATGAAAGTATAAAAAAAGCAACTGTAAGACTAAATGTATTAAATTTTATATTGAAAATCAAACTATGTTCCCCTTGAGATACAATATATATATATATTCTATCTTAGAAAATAAAGATTATTGAGATATTTCAAAAATATGACTTCATACTTTTATATAAGCTTCAAAACAAAAAAATACGTACTTAGTGTCTTTTTTAAACCACATATTACTGCTGTTCGCATTGGTTTAAATGTGATTTATACAAACTAAAGTTTCATCACAACTTCAATCATAAATAAATATCTCTAACCACAATGAATCAGGTGTTTGAGACTTTTCATTACGTCTGAGTTTAAATAATGAGAACCTCTGCACTATTTTTCATTTGTTTTTTTAAGCTTAAGTTGTAAAAACATTCATTAAATTACATTTGAGTTGTATTTAATCAAGTGACTATTGCGTGTGTACACATAACAAATCTCGGATTAAGAATAAACACATGTGATGTAACACACCGCACTAGAAAAAGTTCCTAAGAATAGTAATTAATAATTATAAAAATGTCTAGTCAACCCAGTCCCTTGGATCAGAGCATATACGCAATACAATGCTTGGAGACGACTTGAATGGGTAATGAAGAAAAACTTTAATATAAGTTTAACATAACAGTAAATGTACAACGTTTCAACAAGGTTTTGTCATCATCAGGTACCTGTTTGCAAAATTGTTTGAATTTCGATGCAGTGGGTGCGTCCAGTACAGTAGAGTGCTGGTTCGTAAAATAGCCGCGGAGATTTTTTCCGCTGGATACCACCGTTCCTTGTCATTTTACTGAGTGCAAGAAAAACCTTTACCAAAGTGAGATCTTTTTTCCATTCATGCAACTATCTTCGAAACATTTCTTTTAATTAGTCGTAGGAGGAAGTCTTGTTGTTTTTTTTTTCTCGTGAAATTCCTTCACGAAAAGAAATATTTTTATGCTTAATAAGTCTTTTTATCATATTGACTGTTCACCACATACGAAGACTGACGGATCGATGTAAGTATCGATATTAAATTTTAGAAATTGTAAAAAAGTAATACTTTTCCTGTAATGTACTTTTGAAAAGAAGCATTTTGATATATACAATTTTTTCAGGAGATACAAAGCTTGACACACAGATAGACATTTGGCTACTATATATATATGTGTGTGTTTTTGCATTAATATATCAATTTATGTAATCAGTTACTTTCTCTTGTAGCAAAAAAAATAGCTAAATGAGTTAAATGTTTTGATAACAAGTGTAAAGATTAAGGTACGAAATAGTTAATATTTACATAATTCTATTACCTGCATCTTTTGCAATTTTTTCGACCTATCTTTAATACTAATTCCTGTTTCGTGTCGCGCTTTCTTATGCACATTCGTAAGTTCTTGAAGTTTCTAATTAGCCCATTTTATGTTGTGTTACACTGTATTTCCGCATGAGGTATTAAAATATACATTTGATAATATACAATTCAGATTACAGTATTAGACATAATTATAGAAATACACAAGTGATACACACACAGGTGTAATGAACAATAAGTAATCTGAAGTGCATGGTCCTGCATGCTTCACGGTAGATATTTTACATTGATCGTGATAATTTTCCCCTCTCTGCTGTCGAACAATATCGTTGATTGTTGCCAAACAATTTGAATTAATCTATAAATAGCACTCTCCTCCAGCCCTACTCATCCCATTGTTTGAAGTATTATCCCCATTTCAGATACCTGGCTCGGTTATCTCTGCTAAACATGACTTATGAGAAGCGACACATCCTCTGTTCTGGTGGTGACATTTACACCTGTGCATACAAATAAGTTAATTGGCGCATATATGTACTGGATTCTCGTATGTCACGTAAAGAACATGCCTTGAGTTATTCAACATCGCTTTTGAAGAGCTAAATATTCTATCTCGAGAGCTTCCATTATCAACAGTTCTAGTGTCACATAACCTCTCGGAGTTTCTATTCAGATCCTATCGAAACATAAAATTTCGCCTCAGTCTGTTGCATGGAGTAACATTCGCCGCCAAAACTTTGATTTCTACACATTTGTCACGTGTAATTTCTGTCTTAGGATCCGTGAGTACATTCACCACACCATGTACGGAACTAGCATAACTTCCTGTACTCTATGTGCATTACAGTGGTATAGCACTTTCTGATTGATTAGATGCTGCCAGTCCAATGTAAACTGTTAATATTTGAACGTACTTTGATAATGTAAACATTAAACATTTGACCGTACTCTGATAATATAAACTGCCAATATTTGAACGGACTCTGATAATGTAAACTGCCAATATTTGAACGTACTTTGATAATGTAAACAGTCAACATTTGACCGTACTCTGATAATGTAAACTGGCAATATTTGAACGTATTCTGATAATATAAACACTCAACAATTGACCGTACCCTGATGCATTGTATTTTTCTACAACGAAAGGAAAGAAAATCCCCAATCCATTTATATCCATTTCATTCATTGTTTCCATAATTATTTCTAATACTACACACACACATACACACAACAACAACAACAACACACACACACATATATATATATATATATATAATAAACAACATATATGCTAACTTTAACATCTAAAGGAAAGAGTCGTAAAAATAATAATTTTAACCTTGGATGATATTTTAAACCGCTTGTACTGATAATAAGACCAAGAACAAAGTCCGCCGCCTAGAAGTACGATAAATAAAGATAAATGCAACTACAATGCTAGGAAGGATAAAATTTAACTTAGTGGAATAAGCAACTGAAGAAACTACCAATACAGTGACAGGGATACAACTTCTATTAGTTTTAACCTCTATTTGAGAGTCTCATATGTGAAAAATTAAACATTAAGAGCAGATAAGATTGTAAAGTCCACAACTTTCCCCACCTAAACCTACATTCACCGCCCGAAATCTGCTATTGATGTTAATTGTTTATAATGAAGCAGAATTATAAAAATCAAAATTAGCTTATAAAAAGTTACTAAAATTAAACCACCGTGGATTATAAACCAAAACAATTATCCTAAACGTTGTATTCCAGCTCCTATAATAATTGCATATTTATGTAAATAGAATAATAAAACCTTGGATGCCTAGATTACAAATTACTACTATCAGAAGGAAAAATTAATTTTTTCCTTGAAATCCCTAAAAAGTAGAAGGAAAAACTAAAACTTATTTTACATCAGTTTTCTTTAATAAGTACTCTATATATTGGGCATGTGGTTTGTCATAAAACTTATATGCTTCTGTGTCGGATGTCATTCTTGCTTTCAAAACTATATAAAAAAACTATTAAACCTACAGCTTTCGAAAGGCGGATCCGTTTTCTCGAGGTTTACTTGTTGAAACTACTAGGTTTTATGATTTTTTTAAAGTGGTTTACTAACTTTTCTATGTTTGTGTTTTTTCTACTGTTTCCAACCCTGCTTAGTTCTTGACGTTGTGTTCGAAGGATAATGTGTTTCTTGGAAAGACACGATGGAGATAAACTTAAATAAGCCTAAATTATGCGAGGCTGTAAACCCAGACTGTTTGTAACTTCTCTTAGTTCAAAGTTATTTCAATGTGCTTTCATCGTGTGGTTCCAAAAAGTACCTCTGGATTATGAAACGTCACAAAACAATCTGGGTTTAGATCTCTTCAAGTCACTTCTTTTATAAGTTTGTTTTTTAAGTTAATAGAACAATGGTTAATCTTCAACAGAAAATACTTTACATTACTATTGAGACCTATTGTTGTATATGGTTGGTTTGATAAGGATAATTTATTTGTTTAGGTGTTTTAAGACAACTTCTATAGATGAAAGATTCGATATCCTAATTCTAGACAGAGTAATCCCATTTCAGAAAGTATTGATTGTGACATATCCACATAAAGCTTTAAATGGATACCAAGATCTATAATCCATTAATGTGAAGAGTATTTTAAGGCTGTAACCTATAATAAAGAGTCTACCTTTCATTTTGCCAAAATTGTTGTTTTTTTCTAGTTTTTCCTCATATTATTGTAGCAAAATGTGCCTGAAAGAAATTATAGATTGTACTTTTTATTTATTTATTTCTATTTTCTTTTAGTGTTACTTAAGAATCTTGTCTTGTTTTGAAAATTACAATGACTTTTAAGTTTGAAAATTGTTAACTTTTAGTTGTTGCTCAATGAAAGAGAAAACGGTAGACATTTTCTAATTGTAATGGTTTCTTGCACCTGAGTTAATGTGTTGTTGTTTCGGGGATATGTCTGGAAAACAAAATACTTCAATTATGATTAAAATGTTCCGAGAAAGTTTTCTGACGTTTTACTAGATATACTTGTGTGTGTGTTAAATATACGCCTTTAAATTGTAAGGTAATGAGGTACTGACTGTAACGTGGACGAATATTTTAAACTTAAAGGTATTGTACACAACGTATCAGCTAATGGTAGACGTTGTATAAAAGACATATTTTAAACTTAAAGGTATTGTACACAACGTATCAGCTAATGGTAGACGTTGCAAGATAGAGATTATAATGAAAAATGACTGAATGTAAAGTAGAACATAAATTCAACGTCTACCATTAGCTGATACGTTGTGTACAATACCTTTAAGTTTAAAATATGTCTTTTATAACTCCTAAGTATTCAATTTGTTTTATAATTAAGGTGTTATTGATGTGATTTGCCATTTTCAACTATTCTTCGTGATTTTAAAACATTTTCGTGATATGTGTACTTGATGAATCATATAAAATGTACTCTTCTTTACAGCATCCATACTGTACACAGCAGTTGTCCGAGGCAAAGTGGCTCTTCCATGTGACATCTCCTCCCCCTCCACCGATGACTCCGCGGCTCTCATCCTGTGGTACAAGGATGACTCAGCTCAACCTATTTATACACTGGATGCTCGGAAGGGTAATGTGGACCAAGCCCACCAGTCCTCTGGTCATCAGCTGGAAAACCGTGCTTATTTTAACATGATCAACAGGCCAGCGTTTCTGCAACTGGATCCA